ATTACGATTCTATAGCAGTAAAACTTCATAAGAATATTACTAACATTATTTTTAGATTTTAAAAACTGATAAATTACTGGTTATGAAAAAGTCTTCCGGTGTAGCGAATGTAACAAAATTATACATAAAAGACATTAGGAAGTCGCGTAAGAATATCATTGAATGGCATTTAGGAAAAGAAAATCAAACTCGAATTGTGCGAATTAATTCATTGCCCGTCCCTTCAAAGCAACTTGGAAATTACGTCAAAATTAGCCAATTTTGAAACTAAATATCTCGGTTAAGTTTTGTCGCACGAAAGTCAAACTTTCTGTATTTTATTTTTTTATAACGAGTACAGGATTTTCCTAAATATAAGTACAGGAACCGAATAAACGTACAAAACGTTAAATTTGATAATTTTTACAAACCTGTTTGTTATCTTTAAATTTAAAAATGCCAAAACCTGAATTTTTGCGTCATCTAAAATATTTTTGTATCTGGAAACATATGTTTACGATCAACGGTTGCGAAAAGAAAAGGCTGGGCAAGAACTTTTGTAGGCACGGTATATATTACGTAAGTTAATTCATGACATTAAGCGTTCAAATGCGAATCACTCTCTCATTTGCTCCAGTTACTGTCCCGATGCAAAGTTGTTTATGTAACTTACATACTATTTTTCTCCTCCAGGAGCTTGTAGTAACATCCATTGTGTTCAAGCCGATGACCTAGAAATTAAATTCAGTGGTCACTTCGATTTGCCTTAAGCTATTGCTGATAATTAACTTACCTTAAATGGAGTTTTCAAAAGCTGACCAGTATTTTCTCAAGCATTTTTCACAAGTCATGATTGATGATGACCCAAAAATGTAGAAACTACGTAGATTATTTTTCATTTTAGCCCTTTTAGCAACTTTTGATACCACAAATTTCTTTTATAAATCTGCATTTTAAAAATTACTGAAGAATGTAGAAAAGCTTACCTGGCTAAATATTCTAAACATATACTGCAATGCTACTTTTTAATTTTTTTGTAGTTTTGCTGTTGAATTGTATATGGTGTTAGTGCGAAGAAAATGGTGCTTCTTAATAATAAAGCTAAAAAGCAAAAAGAAATAGGTTAACAGGAGTGAATGCAACTCCAGAATGGTAGTCTGCGAGCTCAGCGAAAGCTAAACAAACCCAAAAAATACTCTTTTGGGAAATCGTTAAAATCTGGAAACTCAGATTTTTGCTGTCTTTTTATCGTTAACGTTATGTGTGTTAAATTTATTAGTTGAACATTCGCACTTACGCCACATAACATTCAGTTCAATAGTAAAATCAGAAAGCATTTAAAAACAGCATATCTTTAGAATTTCCGATAGACAATCTCGCGCAATGGAGATAAAAATGTTTTATTCTGTTCAGTGTTGCCACTGCTCGCTTTCCAAATATTGAGTTTGCTAATAAACACTTATTAAAGTTTTACAAAATAGGAAATATAAAATCCGAAATTCAAAATTCGGGCTGCCAGGGGCACATGTTCGTGTGGAAGGCTATGTTATTCAAAATGTAATGACCGTGTTTTTTTTACAGTGCGAAGAAAATACAAATACATACATGCAGATTCTTCATTATTTAATTTCTTTAAAAATAATGCAGGGTGATGATATTTGGTGGTAACGATGAAAAGTGATATAGTCATTTATAGCGGAAGATGCAAAATCCTATTTCCAGACTAATACCGACTCCATTTACGGCTTTCGGACTAAAAATTTATTTTTATGAGAGTTGAAAGAATTCAATATTTATATGGAAATAAACCGAAACTGAAGTGAAATGAACTGAGGTTTTTAGCCCAGAAGGGCTATTAATTTCGTTTTGACATTTTATGTTGATTCACTATAAACGTCGAATCACTTTTTAAATTGTTGCCACCAAATATTAGAACCCTGTATTATATTTAAAGAAATTAAATAATGAAGAATCTGCATAAATGTATGTATGTTTCTCGCATTGTTATAAAACAACAGTACCTAAGAGCCATAAAATTTTGAATAACGTAATCTTCCACTGAATATGGGCATCTGGAAGCCCAAATTTGAAATTTGGTATTTGTTTTATTATCGATTTCATGTATTGTAAAACTTTAGCTAGTTTGATTAACAAAGTCAAGGATTTTCAAAACGAGCATTGGCAACGTTGTAGAGAAAAAACATTTTTATCTCCAGCGTGTGAGATTGTGTATCGAAAATTCTAAAGATATGCTCATTTTAAAATTATTTTGCCATATTATTCTTGAACTGAATTTTATGGTTTACGTGCGAAGAACATGATATTTAATAAATAAAGGTAACACACAAAACGTTAAAAAAAAAGAAAAAAACCCTCCTTTGGGCGTAACGTAAAATCTGAAAGCTTTCAGGCATTTTTTTTTTTTTTCATTAGATCATAATCGTGTTTCATTCAACTTAATAAACCGAATAATTGAATGTGTCTGTCTCCGTACGTAACGAGATCACATGAGGTAACGCATCCTGTCTCTCCCAAAATAAATAATACGTGGGCACACGAGAGAACCTAACTGAAAATCTACACTTTAAGGGTCATGATAATTATAAAGTACAACAGAGGAAAATCGTCTGCAACCTTCATTCAGTCCATGGATTAAAAAAAAAGGAAGAATTCTAAAAGAAAAGTCACGAGGCGAATAAACACTTATTAAAAATATCAGCAGTGCGTATTCTTAATACCTGATTGTTTTGCTCCCTTATGTTCTGATATATTAATGAAATAAGTTATCTCTTATATAACAGTTATCTCTTATATATATAAAAGGAAGAGTCTGTTTGTCTGTGTGTGTGTCTTTCGTTCGTGCTGCGCGTAAGCTAATAGACCCAGGGCTACGAAAGTTGGTACATAGGGTGCATCTAGACAAGATCCAGTGCACCTCGAAATGATTTTTTTCAAAATTCTAAACAGATTTTCTTTATTTTATGTTTTTGATGAAAACGCATCAAATCGATGGAACGCAGGCATTTGCTCTTGATATATTACTGCCGCCATTGTTGTTGATATCAGCACTGTTGCCACTCGGAAAAATGAGGGAGATAATTCTGAGCAGTTTTTAAATTTAATGTTTCTCTTGGATACCGGACGTTTTTCGGGACGTGCTTGGATACGAAGTTTGTCGAGAGGACGTTTGTTTTCCGATACATTTAAAAGCCAGACGAAGGCTGACCGCATAGCTTCGAATTTGAAATAAAATACTTATTATACATAAAAAAAAAAAAAAAAAAAAAAAAAAAAAAAAAAGAAAAAGAAAAAAAGAAAAAAAAGCAGATCACAATCTGTCAGGAAATAATCTAAACCAATATTCGCTTTGCATTAAGTTAGGTAATCAAAATCTATAAAGTAGCTTTTTTTGCCTTATTTCAAATTTTACGTTGATGTGTTTCTGTTCCATTTGAATTGATATCGAATTTATAGCATTATTTTATCTTTTTAATAATATACATACCAAACCGATATGTTGTTATTGTTACCAATCTCACTTATCTAATAATGGTCAGCACAAGCCTACGACATTCATCGTGTCAAGTCGTTGGCAAAGTCTAATGTGCCTGTCGTTGGCAAAAGCCTTGAGCAATATATATATATGATAGCCCGACTTTAGCTCAGTTCCGCCCCCAATTTTGAGAGAGAGCACCCCGGAGGGGGATGGTTCCAGAAGTGTCCCACGCCTCTTACACTACCACCAACCTCTCGAGAGCATTTTCTGCTTGTCGCATATTTAGAGTGCCTCTATGCCATACAGACATTATATATTTACAAACATCCATGCCTTTTCCGTGATTCGAAGCCGGGCTCATCGGTCTGGCAATCATAGCGTCGCTAATTACTATCCCAATTGGGGGGCTGAAACTGATATATTTTGCAATAAATATAACTGCTGTTAGTATCGACAGAATTATTTTATTAATGATCATCATATATTACGTACCTCGGTGCAGAATTTGAGCGTCGCCTAGCGATAACATTGTTTTATTATAAAGTTCGAGATGTTATTGTCTTATTTAAGCTAATTTCCTGTCCTGGCAAAATGAAAGTTATTGCCATTTACTTGTTAGTAATATTTGTTACGAGCTTCGTATAACAGAATCCACTAAAAACATTAAAAAAAAAAAAAAAAAAAGGCGCAGTAGCTATACATTTGAATAAATCCAAGTCTTTTATTTATTAAACAAGTGCAAAACATATCCTTGATTTACGATGACATCACAGTGGAGTTTTTTTTTTTTTTTTTCCATCTTACTGTGGTACTGTTATTTTTCACAGCTAGTTTTTAAATATTTGACTTTATGTTTTGTATTTTGAATTTCTAGGGATTAATTTTTAATCTAGTACTCGTACTAGTAGTTTTTAATCTTGTACTAGTAGTTTTTAATTCTAGTAGTAGTAGACTTACTTAGCTTAAAAATATTTCGAGACTGAAAATTAAATATGAATGCAAATATCAATTTGCAGGATTTTTTAAAATTTAGTTTTAAGAATTTTTTAACATTAATATTTTTTAAATGTTTTAAAACTATTTTATGGTAAAATCTTCTTTGATATGTTAGATTACAATATAAAGTTTCTGTAGTGCCATTTTTTTTTAATTATTACTATTATTCAGTAAATCTGGTCTGAATCCGTTTCCGATTATTTTGATCAACCTACGAATGTCAAAAAAAATATATGCTTGTTTTTTTTTTCTTTTAAATTCTTAAGATTATTGATAGACAGATGCAAATTTTCATTCCGGTAAAATTATTCAAACAGAAGAAACAGGAGGGGGGGAAGGAATTGAATTACTTCACGCATTTCCGAAGAGAAATTACATTACTCATTAATTCGGCGCGGAAATTAGCATTTTCTCCGAATCGTTGTGGGGCAACTGCTTACCACAGGAATGAGAGTGAAGTGTGGAAAAAGCAAAAGAACGAACAACTAAAACTTTCGGCGGCAATCCAACTGAAAGAACGACGAAATCCTGTCGAAACGGGCATGCGTCAGTCGGTAAATACTTTCGCGACCAGAAAATTCGGTCACTGCATACTTGCCAGATAGTAAATGATGGTAAGCTCTGCGACAAGAATCCTTATCTCTTGGCGAAAAAAATGAAAGAAATAAGCGCCAAATGTCGAGCGTGAAACTTGTTTCGATTGCGGTAACCCAAGCTTGGATGTCTCCGAGTTATTGTGGGTTCGGAATCATTGGTATGGTATTTCTCTGACCCTAGCTGAATAATGAACTATTATTATTATCATTATTATTATTAATAATTGTCGACCTCTGTACTGGACGTTGCATTTACAAGTGTCCCCAAATCACTCAACTACCATCTCTGAAGTGCATTCGTTTTCTTATCTTGTGTTTTTAAAGGTAAGCTTTAGCATTATTTATTTTTAATAGATAACAAGCACGTGCTTTATTCTATGTATTTAATAGGCAGTAACAGGGTCTGCATTAGTCAGGCAGTAAATAAATTTTTGGCCATTATAAGAACACATTTTATCCAATGTATAGAAAATTTAAACCCGTGATAGTCTCTTGCATTACTTACGTTTCTCGTTTTACAATACCTGGTATTATTAATCACGGCATCTCGAAATTTGCTAAGAGCGCTTTTGTCAATATAAATATCTACAATAGTGTCTTTCTAAACTCTGGGGTCGTTGTATCACTTTGTATTTCCCTACACATTAATTACAACCGCGATCTAGCAGGTGTTGCTACTGTTAAGAGAGATCTCCAGTTCTATCACACGGTTTGGTAAACAGCCAGTTCTCAAACTATTGCCAATAGACGTTCTGTAAGATTTTTATGTCTTCAATTATGGTTACATTAGCTTAATAAAGTAAATAATTCAGAAGCAAGAAACTTACTTCTTAATAAATTAATTTTTTCATCCAAAGGGACAATTTGCCCAGAAGGATTATTAATTTCGTTTTGGCATTTTGCGTCGATTCACGATAAGCGTTGTCTCACTTTTCAAATTGTTACCACCAAATATTATCGCCCTGCATTATATTTAAAGAAATTAAATAATGAAGAATCTGCATAAATGTAAGTATGTTTCTCGCATCATGATAAAACAACGGTACCTAGAGATATCAAAATTTGAATAACGTAATCTTCCATAGAATATTGGAATGTGGAAGCCCTAATTTGTATTTGAAATTTGTTTTATTATTGATATTTCATATTTTGTAACACTTCAACGAATTTTTGATTAACAACTAAACGATTTCAAAGCGAGCAATGGCAACACTGTACTGAAAAAAGAAAACATTTAGAAACAGAAATATTTTTATCACCAGCATACAAGACGCTGTATCGAAAATTCTGAAGATGTTGCTCATTTTAAAATTATTTTCGATATTACTGTTGAACTGAATTTTATGGTTTGGGTACGTAGAACGTGATATTTAATAAATAGAGGTAACACACAAAAACATTAAAAAACGCCCCTTTGGACGTAATTTAAACTCTGAAACCTTTCAGATTTTTTTTTATTTGTTTAATTATATCTGTGCTTTTAGTCTATTATCTGTACCTCTATTGTATTACAGTATAATCAATTGATAATTTTTTGTGAATATTTGCAGCATTATTTTAATTTACAAAAAAGGCTTTAAATATATTACCTAATTAAATATATAAAATATTACCTAATAAGGTATAAAATTGTCTCTTCATTATTAATATAATTTTCGTCATTCTGACGAAGTCCTAGTCCTGGTCACTGATGCAAATCGAGAAAACAAACTATATCCGGATTTTAACTTATGATTCAGCCTTTTGAATTTCAGCTTAACATCATGTCATATAACCAAACATACTAATAACAAGAGTACAGTTGATAGGTTCTTTATTTACTGCATTATTTTTTAGCTTACGCATGCAGCACAATACATAATACATAAGATAAAGAAATAAAAGGAATTATGACGTTTTTATTGCTGGTTGAGTACATGTGTAACTTATGAATCACCAAATCTCTATGCTCACTTTTAACAAATACGGATGAATAACAGAAGATATATTGAATTAAAGGGAAAGAAAAAAAAAAAAAAAAAGATCTTAAATCTTACAAAAGATAACATTTATTGGCATTTGATTTTGATTGGCATTAATTTAAAGTTCTACGCTGTATATTTCTAGAGAATGTGAAATAAATCTCTTCGTTTTATGTCAAGTAAGTATTTCTGTGAACGTTTCCGAAATTTATTCTAGGTTATATTTCTAATATTATTACCAGTTTCACATTAATTTTGTCTAATTTTAACGAAAGACGTGTGCTTTTTAATTAAGACAATTTTCAGCGAAATATTCCATTAGCATTGAAAAAAATATTGCTTTAAGAAGAGTAAATTTTGCGTTCCATTCTCTTATATAGCTATTTTTTCAAATAAAATATGAAATTATTTGTATTTCCCCCTGTTTTCGTTCGCAAACTGTTTAGCTTATTATTTACTTATTTTTATTAATTTCGCAAAATTGGTCAATCTGAGTTGCATTTAATAAAATTGATTAATTGATTTTTAAAAAAAAATATCTAATATGACTTTTTGGAGCTAAATGAATGCGTTATCGAATGAAAAAACTGTGCGATATCATTTATTTCATTTTATTTTTAATCTTATCGATGTAAATTGGGAAAAAAGTTAAATAGTCCTGGTATTTTTTTGTAATTTTAAAGGTAGAAACTTAAACTGCTTAAAATAAATACGTTTCGCCTGATAGGAAAATTTCAGTTAATTAATGTAAACGACGACAGTAATTAATTTTCATAAATATTTAAACGGATTGCACATTATTTTAACTAATCATATATTAATATGCATAATTTTATGCATTATAATTACAGTATAATATATTAACACACGCACACATATCTATATAAATCATTTAAATTATTAATGCTACATAATTTTTAATAGAAGAAAACTAAAGAGCATTCATTTTGCAAATGTCTAAGCAAGCTTATTATTTTATATTCATTTTAAATTTAAGTAAATACTGTTCCGCTAAAAGAGCTATAACACTTATCTACGTTGAAAAACACGTTTATGAAATTTTAAGTTTTGCATTAAGAACATCAGAAATGGGTTTAAAAATAATTCAAAAATCAAAAGCTGATTGGATAAGACAATTAAAAATTGATTATTCGTCTCAAAGTATATTCGCAAAGAAATGACTGTTTCTGTAGAATTTTTGTGATTTTCTGCCCTTAATTTTTGAAACTGGTCGTAGACGTATACTCCCAATTACAAAAATGTTTTAAATGACGCAAATTTTTTGTTTTAAATTTAAAGCAATCGGGTTTATGAAAATTGTGAAGCTTAATTTTTTATACGATTTTCCAGTTCCTATATCTATACTTAGGAAATTTTGTATTCGTTATCAAAAATAAAACTCAAAAGTTTGACCCCCGTACAACAAAATTTTTCTATATTTGACGTTATTTTCAATTTGCATTGAGTGGTTGGTTAATAAACAAATTCGAATAAGTTGAGGTTGATTTTTTCCCCTTAAAAATTCCATTTAAGGATATTTTTTTATCATTTACGAGTGTCTAATTTAAAATTTTGTTACTCGTATATTTAGTAGAATAAAAGGAATTTTCCCCCAAAATAATAAATTTATTAGGATAAACTTTTAGATTATATTTTATTTTAGTTGTCAAACTTTTTTTTATTATATATACAGAATGTATATCTCTTAAATTTACTGAATCTAAAGTGATGGTGAAAGTCCGTTGAATGTCGACATTCACCATGTACTAATGGTGAATGTTGAACATATAAGAATATTAAATTTCCTTCTCCGTAATTCATTCGCGAAAAAACGCAATTGAGACTCAGAATAAGAACTTAAGAATATAAGAATTTAAAACACACAGTACATTCAAAATGAGAAAGGAAAATAATAGAAGTTATAAACTTACCAAATTATGTGATTCAAATCTTATTTATTGCAACAACTTAAACTATTATGACACTTTGAATTGCACAAGAGGCCCTTGCTTTTACAACTGCATTTATTTGTGGAACACTTCCTTTTGGAATGGTAGCGTGTACATATACTCCTCTCTTTTCGACCTGCGCCAGAGCATATCTGTAATCTGAGGGTCCGAATGTACAAGAATGTAAAGAAATATTCGATCTTTCACCGACGTATTTGGTGAATGTTGACATTCTCCGGTGAAAGTCGACATTCTTCAATTTCGGTCTTTCACGGAACATTATATAATGCAGTATAATATATTATACTGTATTATATACACTAATAAAGATTATATAATCTTTATTAGTGTTTATTAGTATTATACAATACAGTATTATAGATTATATAATACAGTTTGTAAGGGATGACTACACACTCTGAAGGGCCATTTTAACCTTTTTAAATTAATATTCATGTAATAATAATTAATTATGCAATATATTAAAATTATATAGATATATATGTAATAATGTAGACTTAGATACAATGATGTAGGAATGTTGATCGTATAGGTACTGTGATGTTAATCCATAATGAAGAGCAAACCTGGTAGCCGAGGCATATTAAATATTTCTTTCTATTTCAGGTGACGTTTGCGGCTAGAAATATTTGGTAGATTAATCGGGCCTGTTCCAGAGCGACATTTTTTACGTTGTTTTACGAAAGAAGGGGAAAGCAGCAAGTAGCAGTCTTAGCGGCAGTTTCTTCAGTATGGAAGCTAACCAAGAGAAAGGCTTTGATTTAAACTCGGAATCAGCTATGTTGTCATCGTTATGCAAAAATCATATAATAGATTAATCTAGGAATGACTCAGGCCAGAAAAATTTATTACTATTTTTAGAATATAGAGGGAAAATACCCAAAATTAAGCATTAGGAAACTACTCTTAATTTAAATTACAATTTTGATTGATATATTTTTTATCTAACATATATGTGCATATGTTTGCGTATGCGCCTGTCTGCGTGTGTTAGATAAAAATATGTCAATATAAATTGTAATTTAAATTAGTAACATCTCCTTAATTCTTGATTTTAATTATATCACCAAGCCTGTATGGGGGATATGTATGATAAAAAAATACGTAAAACAAAATGTTTAGCATCTTAATTATTCGTTTTAATTTCGATATTTTCCCTCTGTATTCTAAAAATAGCAATAACTTTTTCTGGATTGTATCATTTCTAGATTAATCTATTTCATATGACTTTAACATAATGATAATGGCGTAGCTAATTTGGAACTTGAAGTTCCCTGAGCCAAAACCTTTCGCTTAATAAGCTACCATATTGGATGACTACACACTTGCTTTCTGCACCTCGGCGTAACTAAACTGCTGCTTTACATCTCCTGCAAAAGTTTCAAAAACGTAC